CTCTGGACATGTCCAAACCACTGTCCCTCCTCTGGACATGTCCAAACTATCTCAGTGTGTCCTCTCTAACTTTACCTCCCAGTTGTTCATTCTGTGCTGTACCTCTGATGATCTCATTACTGATCTTCTCCATCCTTGTCTCTCCTAAGGAGAACCTCAACATCTTCATTTCTGCTACTTCCAATTCTGTCTCCTGCCTTTTTGTCCTTTTCTCCAGACCATACAACATAGCTCGTCTCACCACTGTCTCGTAAACTTTTCTCCATCCTGCCTGGACTCTCTTCTTCTCCTCTTTACCACACTCCCCATGTTCCTGGACAGTGGACCCCAAGTCCTTGAAGTCCTGCACCTTTGACCTCTGCTCCTTGTAGCCTCACTGTTCCACCTCCTCCCTCTCATTCACACACATGTACTCTGTCTTAGTACGGCTGACTTTCATTCCTCTTCTTTCAAGTGCATACCTCCACCTCTCCAAGTTCTCTTCCACCTGTTCCCACCACAGATCACAATGTCATCTGCAAACATCATAGTCCACGGGGATTCTTGCCTGACTTTGGCTACACAAAATACAAATAACTGAACTGAAGACAGGTCTCATCATTTAGGGTTCCATCATGAGGTGTCCTGATTATACTTTAGTTTAAATGTGTTCGTGTTTTGGGCCTCTCCCACAACATTAAGCCCAGAACATCAAACACAAGGATGATCTGGTCTACTTCAGTTCAGACTTTATACGTTAAGAAATTGCTGATAAATAATACAACAATGAATCTGCACACCAGGGAAGGTGAATTAGTTTAGGCCCAAGTTGTTTCGACTCATGCTGGGTGGTGATAACGCTGCTCGAGTGCCAATTACAACATGCACGACGGACCAGAACAGGTCAAATCCATCAGGTGCCCAGTTTAGAAAAAGAGGAGAAACGAGCAGAAGATAAATGTATGCAGCCGTGTCATCTCTTGGAGCATGAAAGCTTTTCTATTATGTAGCTATAACCTGTTGCAAGACAAACTTACTATTAATTAATAACATCAGACACTAACAGTCGTTTATGTTTAGCTGCTTTAGAAGACACCGTTTGGTTTTCAGCAGAAAATATTACCGTTTTGAAGAAAGAATTTCTTCTAAAACTAACTACATGGGAAAGTAATATTAGCCTACTACAATTACTAAAGGCGACGATCTTGTGATGTAGCTTGGACCGTTAAATAGCCATTAACTGAAAGAGGTGTTCATTTGTCTCCTATTCTGAATATTTCACAAAATGGACATACGTACATGTAGACCTGTTGGTTTTGTCTTGGCTGTTAGCTACGTCAGTATCAACCGTACAACTGCTGAGCAGATTTCATGATGACATTATGAATGATTTTGCATCAAGGAAGGCAAGAAGGGTCGATATTTAGGTGGCGGATGTGCAGCTGAATCGGGTTTTGTTGTTTGAACAGTAATAGTGTAGATTGAAAGAAAGAAGGATAAGGCTTTACATGACAGTTGCTCTATTTAATGTGTTTCTTGGAGTGCAACAATGTAAACCGTCTTATTCAGAAAAGGTTCAGATCTTCCTTCACAGTTGTGTGGAGAAAGTTGTGTCTTGATGAAAGTGCAATTGTTGTACACTCATATATATATAATTTTTTTTTCTTCCATTGGTGCAATTTAGAAATGCCATACTTTAGTTGTGATTATGTTCTACAGTATTTATTATTTTTTGTGTTTGTATTGTGTACTTTTAAATCCATGGTGTACAGTACTTATTTGTTTTTGTGTGTTTACAGTATTACTCTAGTTTCTTCAATTTCAAGTTTTTGAATAATATTCATCCAGCCCATTATCTTGTACCAGCTTTGTCCTTTTTGGGTCACTGGTGTCCATATCCAGCAGTCACTGCGCGAGAGGTGGGGGACACCCTGGACAGGTCTCCTGTCCATCACAGGGACACACAGAGACAAACAACCACTCTCTCTCTCTCATCTAGAGACATTTTAGAGTCACCAATCAGCCTAACATGCATGTTTTTGGTCTGTGGGAGGAAACCTGTACCCGGAGAAAACCCATGCATACACGGAGAGAACATGCAAACTCCACCCAGAATGCCCCCATCCCCGACCAGGATTTGATCCGATGACTTTTTCGCTGAGAGGCAACAACTTTACCAACTGAGCCACTGTGTCGCCCTTAATAAAACTATATTCAAAGAATCTTTGGGTAATCTTATGGTAATCTAAATATGTCCGGGCGGAGCGAGTCTGTGCACTCAGGGGTGGGGTGTATGTGGGGGGGTTGGGTGATGTAGGCTTGGGGGTGCCCCGGAGGGATTGTTCGCCCAGGGCACCAAACAGGCTAGGACCGCCCTTGATTATACCACCTTTGTGTTTCCTAAGGTCAGTTCGTAAATGGGTGTAGATGTACATCCAATTATTAATTTATCACATTTTTAAAATAATTTCTCTACATGAAATATTTTGCTAACAGACTATGACTGTTAGCTGTAATGAACATGCGTCAAATCACATCACGTGATCTCTTGATATGTTAGTTTCATGATTAGTTGCATCAACATGTGGTGAACGTGCAGCTTCAGCCCCGGAGCCAATGAAAAGCACGAGCAGCCTTACGTCACCGGTTCAGCAAACAGGTGAAACGTGGGGTCTGTCTCTGCCATTCACAACTTCCTGCACGCACACACACTACTTTATGTGCGTGTGAACTGACGGCGCTTTAAAAAAAAAAAGAAGAAGAGGGCGCAGACAATGTGAAGTGTCCCGGTGTCAAAGCGGTCCGAGCCACAACAAAGCCCGGGCTGCAGCAGCTTTTCGGGACACCCAGCTGCCACATCGCACGCTGCCGGCCGGAGGCACCGCTTCTCTCCGGGTGACGGCCTAGCAACACAAGCCCCGTCCTCGACGCTTCCCCACACGCCCGCCATTTGGAGCGTGGCGAGAAACTCCGGCTAAACCACCGCTTCTACCAGGTGAGCTGGGAAAGTGGCCGGCACACCGGGGGCCTCGTTCCTGACTAAACACAAAGCATTTCAGACCGTTTATATTTTGCAGTTTTACTGAGAACGTGCTTTTTTTTTTAATCGCAGTGGGGTTCGGAGCTGCCAGTTAGCTGCTAGCTAATGTAAACAACATGAGCAGCCAGGGCTAGGAGGAAAACACATGCGCCGTTAGCGACTCGGCTAACAGACGTGAAAACAACTTATAAATGTTGTTTTGTTTACCAGCACATAAGTCTGACTGCTTTTATTACGATTATATGAGTGTGATGCATGTAAGGAGACGCTGATCTCCGTTTAGTCCACTAAAAAACGTGTGCTAGCAGCAGGCAGCTAACTAGCTAGCTCCATTAGCTTACTGAATGAATTCAGCTGAACTCACCCCTCTGCCTCAAAGCACAAGTTTGCTGATGATTGTTCGATAATCCGTTATGTGTGGATCCACCGCCGATCAGAAGGGACACGATGACCACGTCAATGCGGAGACAGCTTGTCAGCGGCGTGTGACTTAAAATAAACAATTCGGGCAAAGTGAAAATCTCCTCGAGAGGAGGAAAACAATCCGTTCGGTTAGCGGTAGGAGTGGGCGGGGCTCCCAGAAGAGACCCGCGCTACGACGCACGCTATTGGTCAGTTCATTCGCAGGCTCCGCGCGGAGGCGGGGCTACAGCTAGTGTTTTGAATTTGAACTGTCAATCAAGGATTTCTCTACAATGGCAAAATGCTGGATTTTAAGCGCGTCAACTTTTTTTTTTTTAACCTTTTTGCAGTCGTTTCTCATGTTATTTTTATTGTTAAAAATGTTTTAATTAGGATAGAACAAATCATTTTTCTATTTAGGATGGTTAAAAAAATAAACCATAAATTTGTATAGATGCCAAACCCATTATACTTTAGAATACATTCAAGGTAGATTGTTTTGTAAATTTTAAATGAAAAATAGGATAGTTAGAAAAAGTGCAGTAGTTATTTAGCACATTGTTTTTAATCTTTTT